CCAAGGCGGCCCACCCTTGACACCCACCCTCCCCTACCTCCTCCCTGCTCCCCCTCATCCCACACGCTCCCCTCATCCCACACACTCCCTCATCCCACACACTCCCTCATCCCACACGCTCCCCATCATCCCACACGCTCCCCTCATCCCCACACGCTCCCCTCATCCCACACGCTCCCCTCATCCCACACGCTCCCCTCATCCCACACCGGTGCCGGAAGGGCCCACTCACGGGCGTGAGCACCGCGCTGAAGCCCTCCTGGGACATCTCCAACTCGAAGGAGCTGCTGCTCACGGTGTGCGTACCTGGGGAAGGCATGGCACTCAGGTTCGGGCCGGGGGGTGGGTGGCGGGGGGGACAGGCTTTGCCAGGACACCTCAGCTTTTTTTTTTAATCCTCATCCGAGGGTGGTTTTCCATGGATTTTCAGAGAGGAAGAGAGAGGGAGAGACAGAGGGAAACACTGATGTGAGAGAAACACTTTAATTGGTTGCCTTTTGCGCACGCCCCAACCACGGCCCGGGCAAGGGAGGAGCCTGCACCCCAGGTCCTCAGGCTGACGCTCTATCCACTAAGCCACACCGGCCAGGGCAGGACACCCCAGCTTTAACAGGGCCTGATGGTGGAGACTATGTCCAGAGGGCAGGGTTGGTGCTCTGACCTGGAGGCAGGGCCCAGAGGAAAGGCACCCGTGAATGAGGTGTCTAGAGCGAGTTCCAGCTCTGACTTACCCTCAATGGCAAAGATCTTCTCTTTCAGCTGCCTTTGAATGTCTCTCAGGGCATCAAAGTTGTCCACTCTGAATATGTGCTCCTGCGGCGGCCTGGACGCGATGGCGTTCAGCTCTGCGAAGGCGCGTAGGTCCTGAAAAGCCGACCCCACCTGTCCCCACAGGAAACTGACTCAGTGAACAGATGACAAGCCCACGGCGCCTGCCACGCTCTGGCGCCGTGTCCTCCAGTGATGGGGGCCAGTGTCACCTCCCCACCCGTCCCCCCGGATCCGGGAGAGAAACGGAGGCTCAGAAAGCATCAGGGAGGCTGGCAGAGGGCCAGGTCCCCAGGCTAACCAGCCTCCCCCCGCGGGCAGTGGAAGCCGAGAGCTGGGTTCTGTCCCTGGAAGGGAAGTCCCCAGAGAGGAAGCAGAGGGCAGCATCCGCATCCTACCCCGACCGCATAGCGGACGATGCCCTTGGCCTCGGCCCGGGGGATGACATCCTCATATTCCAGGTTGTCGCCTGTTTTATCCCCATCCGTGATGACGATGAGGATCTTGGAGGCGTCCTGTCTGGCCCCCTTGTGGGCACTGAACAGCTCTTCTCTGCAGGAAAGAGGAGGGTCCAGAGGCGCCTGGGCACAGCCCCTCCGCCTCCGCGGCGCAGCAACGAGGAGGTGACTTCCCCGGGAGGCCTGATGCGGGCGGCCCAGGGCCCCCCCCCCCGCCCCCCCATTGGTGAGGAGACCAGGCAGAATCTCAGTTCCATCGGCCCCTTTGTCTTGGAGCCGGAGGAGGCCCAGGGGAAGGGCGGCCGCCTGGAGGGCCGGAGGGTCAGGACTCACGTGACCCTCAGGATAGCTGAGGCCGTGTGCGTGTACTGGTTCAGCTGTCTCACAGAGTCCAGCAGCCGCAGTGGGTTTGAGCTCTGCGAGAATTCCTTGAACGTGAAGTGAACCCGGAAGGTGCTGGAGAACTGCATCAGGGAGAACTGGGAGAAGAGCAGGGGCTGGCACCTCCCTCCCCGGAGTGCCAGCGCCCTCCCCCGGAGCCCCAGCGCCCTCCTGCAGGCCTGCCCAGCGCCTGCCCTGCCCCACGGGCACACCTGGGCCCTGGGTCTCTGGAACTGGCTCATCACAGCCTTCACGAAGCTCAGCATCTTGGCAAAATCCCTGGAGCTGATGCTGCCTGAGCCGTCGATCAGGAACACGATGTCCTGCTCCTGCCTCGGGCACTCTGAGGAAGGAGGTGGCACGGTCCTCTGCGGGCGCTCCCAGAGCCCAGACCCTC